ATGGCCATAAATAGAACACATTAGTTTGCTAAAAGGTTTTTGCAGTGTATATTTATTTGTTACTAGACCCACTTGGAGGCTGGCAGCCCTATGTTTGGCTGAAATTTGGTTAGTGATTATACTTCCAGGCAATTTCTGTCCTTTAAAAAAAGCTTTGTTTATACTTGGATTGGATTGTTTGCTGCACAAGGTTGATATCATTGATATTGTAAGCCACCCTGAGCTACTGAAAGGGTGAGGCAGACTTTTAAAAGATAAATTCTCACACAAACATACACTCAGCTGCCACATTATTCTTAAGAACGTAAGAAGAGCCTTGCTGGATCAGACCAGTGGTCTATCTAGTCCAGCATCCTGTCTCACATAATCGTCAACCAGTTCCCCTGGACGGCCAACAACAGGGTGTCGGGGCTGAGGCCTTGCCTCCTGGCTCTGAGATTCTTCCCAGGCCTCTTCCACCTAAAGCTATGCAAAAGATAACAGTTCCAGGGCCAGGACAAGAAAATACACACAGGTGGGAGCCAGGAATCAGGCATTCCCATCTACGCTTGGAAGCACAGTAACACCTGTGGTTTGCCACACCAGAAGGAACAGCAGAACTACCACCCGTCAGAAATAAAATGTCCAATTAAGAGGAAATGCAACAGTAGCAAGCCTTCTTGTGCCCTTTCCCCTGGAAGATATTAGCCTGCAATAATAGACAAATGGACCAGGTTGAACTCGGCAGCTGCTTTGTCCTATCCCCCAAAGGAGAGAGGCATTGTCAAAGAGGAAAAGTGCGGGTAGCCAGAGCAGGTGGCTGGAGCAGAGTGCATACACCTGAGCTGTGGGATACAGGATGCTTTTCCTGTTTTACTCAACCACAGAAGCCTTCTCTACAGATCTGCCCTCAATGGACTCCTGCAAATAACAAAGGCAGCCACAATCACACAGAAAACCTTCTCTACAGATCTGCCCTCAATGGACCCCTGCATATATGGAAACCTAACAAAGGCAGCCACAATCACACAGAAATATTGCTTCAGCCTCACAAGAAGGTGCATATTGGCTTGAGTAACTCCACAGTGATGACTTCCTTATCTCTCCTGCCCCTCAAGTAGTGTTGTCCAGTTTGGGTTGGAAAATTCCTGGAGATTTTTGGGGAGGAGCAGAACCTCAGTGGTGTACGATGCCATTAGAGTTCCCCCTTAAAAGCGGCCATTTTCTCCGGGCGAGGTGATCTCTGTTGCCTTGAGATCAGCTGAAATCCCGGAAGATCTCCAGCCTCCATCTGAAGGCTGGCAACTGTGTGCCCAAGATCTGCTAAAAATATACAAGTGCTTGTCACAGAACACGTGACATACCACTGTAACTGATACGCAACCAGTTCTATCAATTAAGAGCATTACTAACCCACATACACTGTTTGAAAGTCTGTGCACCTTCATTATTTTTCAAGATTTGAGTCGTCAACAATGACAACTACTTCTTAAAGTAAAAAATGTGTTACACCTCCTTGTTCTGCTGAGAAAAGACATTAGAGATGCATGTATTATTTACTTTTGAGATGTCACTTGAAAAACGCTGGGCATTAAAAAAGAAATGAGCTGAAAACCAAGGAATGTTCCAAATAAGCAGTGAAAGCATCCCCCCCCCCAAATTTGCACTGTAAAATCTTGCTTCCTTTTTACTGGAATGCCAATAGGATAAATATGTACCTGATGGGGGAAGGTGCGCTGGTCACCTCTTTTTGCTGCACTGTACTTAGTTAGCATTTTATAATAAAAGTAGTAAAAACCAAAACACTATCAACAAACGTGCATTTGTCCCTAACCTTTTCACAAATGATAAACCTGGGGAGGGGCTGCAACAGCAGTTCTTCCCAGCAATCAAAATGGTAATGAACATCCCATAGATAAGAGTTGCCTGCACTGCCTTGGCCAACGCTGGGAGGTTTTGAGGGCGGTGCCTGAGGAGGATGTCATTTCCAGGTGATGCTCTAGCAATCTCCCCTGGTTTCTATGGTAAAGAGCACAGAGATGTGGGGAAATTCCTAGAGCACCACTACAGAGGCCATTGTCTGCCCATTTCTCCTCCCACTCCTCAGTTTACTGAAGGCAAGGTATTGGGGCTGAGAGCAGGGGTTACCTACCACAGGCAGGCAAATGGCAAGTCAGCCCAAGGACAGAACTGCTTTCCCCTAGAAATATATATTTGTTTGAATGTGGGGACAAGATAGCCTTAATAAAGGATGTGCAGACGTTCTGAGAAACAGATGTGCAGCAATAATGCAATCCACTGATCCTCCGAAAAGTCCTAACAGAATAAAGATAGATCAAGATGGGTAGCTTGTAATGCAATCCACTGATTGCATTAATCTTGAAAATTATTTAAGAACACTGATACAAAGGGTGCCTATCTTCTAAGGGAAGCAGACATTCAGTAATGCATAAAAATATGATAACCGCAAGTGTCATCTTAAATCACCACACCAACAGATCCCATATGCAGGAAAATACTGAAAGAGATAAAGGAAGCGTATGACACAAATTACTGAAGGGAAAGTGAATGGAGGGTGAGATGTGACATGCAAAGAGGCACACTAGTAAACACAGCTTTACAGGATTGTGACAAACCATTCACAGCAAGAATATCCTGTGATTTCCAGTTTTAAAAAATGTATTAGAATTTGCCCATGGACATGTGATGCCGAAGAAGCATCACAGTCTAATCGCCCCTTCTGAATAAATCTAAATCAGATTGTGCACAAATTTCAATTTGACCATTCTTCCAAACTCGGAGCACGTGCTTATTAAATCTTTGCTCAGCGGCATATCGTTTTTAGAGGAAATCTGCAAACTTGGACAAGCGGTTCTGTGCTTCACACCGCTCCCCCAGCGGGAACCGTGTTTGAACACAAATAAGAAGTGTAAAAGGTTTGAAATCTACAGAAGAACACACAAAGCCCATTACCACAAAGGTAGACCCATGAATTGTAAGAGAACCCTGATGGCCCTAGGAAAAGAATGGAAACAGATTATGCTAGTTTGTCATGTGCTGACAACAATCAATGGCTGAAGAAAATCAGAACCCAACACCAGAGACTTGGTTAAAGCAGGATATACACAGTGGGGGACAATTTCATGGAAGTACATGAAACGTTAAGATTTTTTTCGTATCTTTTTTTTTTTTTACCTTGTTCAAAAAACTGTGATCGCCTTTTTAAGTTTTTCAAAGAAATAGGTTCTGTGTCTATTTGAAAAAAATACGGAGATAACAAATCAGTGCGGTGTGGTCTGATTATACTTAATCGCTCTCTCTCTCACTCTCTCTCTCTGTTCGCCGGACATATGCTATTCTCTTATTTCAAGGGCACAATTACATTCAAGGGAAGCGGCACAGCCACAAATGTCTTATTATTTGCCAGCTGTAATTGGGGCGAATGATACCACAGAAATGAGGAATGTGAGACAAGCCCCTGCTTTGGGTTGCCAACTCCAGCTTCGGAAATCCCTGGAGATTTGGGACCAGTTGTCTGGGGGGGGGGGGTGGGGGAAGGGAGAGACAGATCAATGGGGATGTGGTGCCAATGGAGTCCACCCTCCAAAGTTGCCATTTTCTCCAGGGGAAACTGATCTCTGTAGTCTGAAGATGTGCTGCAGTTCTGGGAGACCTCCAGGCCCCACCTGAACGTTGGCAACCCTAGCTCCTGCTGGATTCGACCACTGGTCTATCTACACCCGTATCTGGTTTGGACAGTGGCCAAGCAGTCGCCGCAGAGGGCCAACGAACAGGGCTAGGCTTCCCAAGTCCCCCCGGGGGGCGGGGAAACCCCCGCCCCAGAGGCCCGTTCCCCGCTGGCGGTGGATCGGGCCCCAGGGGGAACCCCACCCCGACATGTGCGTCACCCAGAAGTGACGCGACCACGCCGGGCACGCTGGGGGTGGGGCCACTGTCATCCGAGGGAAAATTCTATGGTTTTCCCTCAGATGGTCGTGGCCCTGCCCCCAGCGTGCCCGGCGTCATCACATCA